GAGTGGCCTGGCCACACTGACACCCAGGGCTCTCCACTGGAGCACTGTCCTCTGTGGCCGTCCACGGCTCCAGGGCCTCTTTCTGGCCAGTTCCTCTGCAGAGCTTCCCTGATGCCGTGGGACAGTGCAGCAAGGCACTCTCCCACAGGGACAGATACAGGGACTGGACACAGACCCACAGCCTTGCTGGGAACTGCTGCAGGGGCTGAATTTCTTCCCATGGATCCCTTCAAATACAGAAACGCCCTGTCACCAGTGGGAAGCAGGAGGCCGGCCTCACTCAGCCCATCCTTCATCTTCGAGGATAGCACCTCGCTCCGTGCATTTCCATTTCTGTCAACTGCAGGCATATTCAGCCAGGAAGGGGAGTCTGCAGGCCGAGGGCTCCCCTTCTGTGTGCTCCTCTTGAGGCTGTGTGACAGTCTGTCCCAGTCCTCTCCTCCCTTCCCCTTCGCTCTGGCCATGCAGGTGTTGAGGGTCCCTCTTCTGTCCTTCATGCTTTGTGTCCTCTGCGGTGGTGGGCCTAGGGTGACACTTCTGTAGGGAGGGGATGGGCTTCAGTGGATCTTAATATGAACCTGCAGGCGCACGTTGAGCATGATGGAAGCCACGATGTAAAGGTAGGGGAAGTTGATGCGCAGCCGCCAGGCCAGATCGAAGAAGATGAGCAGCGTGCGGGTCAGCCCCTTGCAGAAGACCCCATAAGAGCGGGCAGCGGCTGAGCGCGAGAGCCGGAGAGCCAGGCCCGACAGAACTGCCGCCATATAGAGACGCTCGCCGTGCCCCCGCCCGCCCTCCCTCCCTTCCTCTCCGGTCTCCCCGGGCCTCCGCCCTCGGCCACTGGCCCGCGCTCAGCGAGCTCAGGGAGCGAGGGAGGCGGCGGCGAGGCCGGCGGGCGGGCGGGGAAGTCTAGTTTGGTCTTTTTGATACAGAGTTTTGGTATGCAGTTCAGGTTGGCCTTCAGTCCACGTTGTAACCTAAGCTGGTCTCAAACTCAGAGCAATCCTCTTGCCTCAGTCTCCTGAGTGCTGGGATTACAGGTGTGCCATCATGCCCAGCTGGACCAGTAGTTTTCTGAAGGTAAAGAACATGACTTGTTCCTCTTATGTAGTAAATACCTAGCTCACAGTATGCTTTCAGGAAGGGTTGGAGAATCAATGAATGAAAAAAGGAAAGAAAGAGGATGAGTGAAAGAAAGAAGGAAAGAGATATACATGAAAGAATCCCTCAATCAAAAGTGTCTTGCATGGAGTCCTTCCCTTCATTTGAAGGGCGACATGTCTCACTCACCACACCTCCATAGAGCTGCCTGTCTCTGCCCCAGCCTCTGCAGGGCGTCCTTCACGTCCTTGTTCCGCAGACTGTAGATGAGGGGGTTGAGCATCGGGATAACCTGGGTGTAGAAGATGGAGACCACCTTGCCCTGCTCCATGGACTCCACAGCTCCTGGTTGTGCATACATGACAAACACCGTCCCATAAAACAGGGACACGGCTGTCATGTGAGAGCCACAGGTGGAGAAGATCTTTTGCCTCCCTGACCCCGAGCGCATCCTGAGGATGGTCACTGTGATGTAGCTGTAGGAAATAAGGACCACAAGAGTGGTGCCCACGATAATAAGCCCACAGATGCCGAACATGACCAGCTCATTGAGGGCTGTATCGGCACAGGCTAGCTGCAGCAGGGGCGGCACATCACAGAAGAAGTGGTTGATGCGGTTGGAGCTGCAGAAGGGGAGCTGGAACGTGAGGCTGGTCTGCACGATGGAGTTGAGGCAGCCTCCGCAGTAGGTTCCAAGCACTAGGCAGATACATTTGCCAGGGCACATGGTCACAGGGTACTGTAGGGGGCTGCAAATGGCCACGAAACGGTCATAGGCCATCACAGCCAGTAGGAAGCCCTCAGTGGTAACCAGTAAAGAGAAGAAGAAGAACTGGGTTGCACAGCCTCCAAAACTGATGACTTTGGTGGAGGAGAAGAAGTTGGCCAGCACATTGGGGGCAATGACAGATGAATAACAGAGGTCCAGGAAGGACAGGTTCTTGAGGAAGAAGTACATGGGGGAGTGCAGGCGGGCATCCAGGGTGATGACTATAATCATGGTGAGGTTGCCCAGGACAGTCACAATGTACAGGACCAAGAACACAGCAAAGAGCAGGGCCTGTGTCTCCATACCTCCCCTGAATCCCACCAGCACAAACTCCTGCCAGAGCACCACAGAAAGGTTCCCATGTCTGTTAGTCGCCATTGTCCTGAGCTGAGTCAGCTATGCAGAAAGGACAGTGGAGGCAGTGAGGGGGTGTAGGTCATAGTCACTATCACATGTTCCATGGCCCCCAGTGACCTGCTGGTGCCACGCTGTCCACAAAATTGATGCCACCAGCTCCTATGCTCTCTTTGTAGATGAGCTCATCATGGCCTAAAAGAAGGAAATTTCCTTTGATTTACTTAATTCAGGAATATGTGCTGAGTTTCCCTTTGTAGGAGTCTGAGATATGCTCTGGAGGAGGCAAAGAAGCGTCCAGAGCTGAGTGAGTATTCATGAAAAGGCAAGGTTAGCATGTCCCCCATGCCTTCTTCTGATAGACCAGCATTCTCACTGCTCAGATGAGCTGTTAAGCTTATGTGGACCTGGTTTCTGTGTCCAATTCTGCACTTCCCAGGCCTTATCTCCAACCACCCTTATTCAGTGATGGTGGTGAGGACCTTCTGCCACCAGTCCTTGAGCTGACTGTCGTCAAATCTCCAGGTGGGAGAAAGAGCAAGTTCCAGACCTTCCCACTGAGTCTGTGCCCTGTCAGGTGGGAGGACCCTGATTCCCACCTCCACATCTCTGAGAAGGGACCACATTGGAGCTGAATCTTCCAAGCCTTCTACCTTCTTGAGGGTGTCAAGGTCTTCCCACCATGAACAAATGGTGGACTTCTCATGGGGTTGGGATAAGTGAGCCCTCTGACCTGTTCATAAACAGCAGGGCTGGTGCTTTGGTACATTTGGAAAGTGCACATCCTTCCCATCTCCTTCTCACAGTGGGGATTTAGACAGGTTTTTCTCTTACCTATTGAAAACCACAGGTGGCCTCTGTTCAGTCTCACATGGCCATTCCTGATTATTTTCTCCTCCTTCTCTCTATTGCTGCATAGACAATACAGCAGTGTCTGGAGAGGGGATGGCCCTGCACCTCTGCTGGTCACCAGGAAGCAGTCACATTGCTGCTGTGCTGGGGACCCTGGCTGGGGAGCGGGGAGGTGTCTGCTCTGCATCCTCCTGAGGGGCCCCAGGGAGGCCCTGGTGGGGTGGGTCCCGCTGCTGCACAGCTCTACACCTCTGGGCTCGTGATGGGACGTGAGACCTGGAGCAGTCCTAGCTGTCTTCTCCATATACTAAAGAGCAGAGTTTTCCATTGTCGGCTGGAAAGATTTAGATGAAATTGTGCTGTGTGTACTACTCTTTCCAGTTCCTCTTGATATAAATTTGTTGGTGGTTATAATTCTGATCACAGATTTTTTCTTTTTTCTAAACTGAAAATAAAAAGAGGTATTCATCTCGAGAGACAAATTCTTTGCTTTATGTTAGAAGAGGCAGGGGTCTCCCTAACTTGCTGAGGACACAGGTGCGTCCATCTGTGGATGAGCCACTGACCATGGGCTGAGGCAGGCACTGTGATACTGGGGAGCGGGGTGACTCTTGCTGTCATGGGCCTACTGTCCTCACCTTCCTCCCCACCCTGCTATGGACTGTGTGGTCCTGTACCAGCAGCATCGCCCTCACCTGTGAGCTGGTAGAAATAGGAGGTGAAGCAGAATCAGAGCCTATGTTTAACAAAGTGCACTGATGTTTGTTTCCAAGCCCATGATTCTGGTTCTGAGACACTTACCTCACTGACCTGGAGTTGAGGTGAAGACTGGCTAGAATAGGCGAGGGCTCAACATCATCCTGAAAGCAAGTCCTGAGTGCTTACTGTGTGCTTAGCCCTGCTGCTTTCCTATGAGTAGGACCTCAGTGTCATTAGTTGCTCTCCAGGAGGCCTGTGCTCCCAGAGCCTGCTCTGTGCTGAGCATGCTGAGGTGGACACTGAGAACTCTGGCTCCCAAGCAGCTCAGCTCTGGGTCCTGAGCAGAGGTGTGAGGCTGGCTTGGGCAGAGCTCTGCACCTGGGGACTCACTGAGAATGTGGTTGTCCTCTTCTGGCAGCAGTGAATTCTTGGGTGTCTGTGGAATAAAGAAGGTGAGGGCTGTCTCCCCTCTCCTCCTCTCCTGTCCCTAACAGCTGGGCAGCATGTGGATGCTCCTGTACTTTAGGTCACACTGTGGGGAGGATTCTTTGCACCTGGCAGGACTGGGACTAAGGGCCTCCAATGGCCAATTAAGGAGGCTCTGGGCCTCTGCTCAGGGCTGGGACTGAAACTCCCTTGGTCCTAGAAGCTGCAGTGGTGTGGCCAATGTTTGTTTCATCATCTTCCCTCCTTCTGGGGAGGCAGGAAGCCTGAATTCCTCAGCTACCCAGGGTAGGGGGCTGTCAACAGTCTTTCATTCTCTCTGGGGGCCCTCAAAGTGCTCTGAGGGTCAACCCAAGGATCACAGATATCACCAACACTTTGTTTGGTCCCCCAAGTGTGGGGTCCTTTTATTTACCTTGTTTTGTATTAACATCTGGTCCGAGACTGCAGTGCCCAGGAGCACTGCCTGTAGGGACAGGAGAGTTTCCTCCTGGACCCCTCGAGCCCTTTTGGAGCATTTGAAATGTAGTGAAATGGAAATACTGAACTTTCGTTTTTAGTTAATTAAAGTATGTGTTGTCAGAATAGCCCAGTGGAGCCAGAGGTTTTAGTCCTGGACGCTCCAGCCTCCCAGAGCCCAGCAGAGCTGGGTCTTCTGCATTCAGCCATCAATATTTTGTCTCTCTATCTCTTTTCAGCTAGAATCTCCCAGTTTTCTTGATGGTTCTGCAATTTCGTGTTTAGTTGTTACTATGTCTCTGTGTATTCCAAGATGTTCAGTCTTACTAAATGCTGCATGTAATGTCAAGTACCATGATGCTAGATTTCCTAACTTAATATTTTTGTTGATTATTATTTTAATTATTCAAATTTATGGTGCACAGAGTGATAATATGGTCCATACATTGATTGTGTAATAATCAAATTGAGCAAGGTATAAGTCATCAGTTTATAGATAATCTCCTGATGTAGTGACACCTTGGTTCATGAACTTAATTCTTCCCACAGTCTGGTCCCAGAATTTGCTCCATGATTTGTACTCTGCTTACAATTTGGTTGCAACCAGAATCATGGAATGAATCCTGTGACCTGAATTGTGGAAAGAATTAAGTTTATGAACTGAGATACCACATTACTTCATTGTTTTGCAAGGAATTAAAATCTATTGTTCATTCTGTGGTCCCAAGAAAATAAGGTTAACACAGAGGTGCCTTCAGGTGTCTTTGTTATGGTGTCCATTTATCTGGCTAGGGCTGAGCTGCAGTACATCAGCCCTGGGTATAAGTCATCAGTTCATAGATAATCATAAGGTGGTCAGCCGTGGGTATCAACTTATGCACACAGCAGGCTCCATGGTGGCATCATCCTCATCATGGTCTATTGCAAAGGTCTTTAAAATGATTTGAAGGTCATTGACATAGATAAAAGATGGAAAAGAATCATAAAGCATGAAACTTTATTCCCCCTACAAATTCTAGGAGTATGAATATTTTGTTATTCTCTGAAGCACAAAGGAAGTTTATTATGTAAACTTAGTTTTTATATGGCATGAATTTAGAATATAAAAATAAGAAAATTAAAAAAAAATCAGATATAACCAACTGAGAAATAAAATAGTAAATTAATTTTAAAATTCAAACAATAAATAACTTTATGACCATAAATTCAATACATTGAAGCAAATAGACCATTTTTTAAATTTTAAAGAGAATGAAAGAATAACAAAATAACAACATTGACAAAAACAAAACATCAGAAAAACAATAAAAATGATACAGGGTTTCAAAATAAAATGATAGGAATTAATAGTGGTTGTTATACTACATATTGTTATCTTCAATGAAGTTGTTCAGCTTACCAGATGTAAGAATGCAAGATTGATCAAACCATTAAAGAGAATAAAAAATAATTTAAAAAACATTAGAAATGATACAGAGCTTCACTAAACAAGA